GGTGGAATATGATTCTCATCCATACATCGCTGATAGAAAACGACCATCGGTTCTGCTAGATCCCTAGCTACTGCCTGCGGAGCCATCGTTCGAATGTTGTCGAGTCCAGGAGAACGGTGGATACGCAAGGATAACAAGTTCTTCAACACAGCTTCCGCAGTGAAGGTGATGTTTTATAAGCCTAACTTTGGAGTAACAGTAGGGAGAAGAGTAGTTGGCCTCGTGACCTGCTGGAAAGTTTGGGAGTAATGAAGCCGTAGGAGACCGACTGCTTTCAGTTCTGACTGCGTGCATCCATCAGCCTTGACTAGTGCTGGAATTCCGCGCTTTCTCTTACGAAGAACATTAAGGTGCCTGTGCAGAAGTTTGCAGTTCGTGCGGAATCGCTTCATTAACTCCTGCTGATGCGTAGCCTTGTCTTCACGGATCAATTTCACACAGAAGTTCCGATGTGTTACGTATGCAGTCCATGTTTCGGCATTCGGGCATTCCTCGTAAGCTCGCCACGCCAAGTCCCTCAGGGACATACATTTACGTGTTCTGCTCCTCAGAAATGACATATTTGTTTTTAGATTGAAAAGACTTTCCTTTCGATGCATGCGCTACCAATGTGCTAAATGTCCTATTGAACCTTTACTGGGCAACATATGGGGAGCATTCGGTTAAGAAAGCCCAAGATGTATCCTTAACAAGCGTATATAACACATAGTGTGTGACAGTATGCAATTTATCATCCTCCTATTCTGGATATTCTGAATAGCATATATAGTCAAAGAATAGAGTTAGATGGTCATTGCGACCCAGTTATGTGCTTGTAACTATCACGAGGACCATGAGTTCTTCGTTAGTGAACACGAGATCGTCTATCGACGGCTTGTTAGCAGTACGGAATCTAATGGGAGAGGTTACGTGATTGTGTAGCGAGGGACTGGAAATTAGCTCCTGCAAGCAGGCTTTCAACTGCGTACCATAGATTACTAGCGTCTCCATATCATGTGAATTAAGGTCTCCAGCGCTAAGAATGTGGCTGTAGGACTTGTTCAGAGCAACTTGAAACATGTGGTTCAACTTGGAATCCATTTCCAACGTAAAGTTTGCTGGACCGTAAATTACAGCTAGTAGACATGCATCCTTGTTCCGCAACCATAGGAGGCACAAAAGCGAATAACGAGCGCGGATTTCGAGGTGAGCAACCATTCCACATCGGAGGCTTGCATTATAATAAGTAAGCACACCAAAATCCTTCCAGTTCTATCGTTCCGTAGCACCGATAAACCTGGTAAATTGAATTCATAATCGGTAATCTCAACGTTCAACCAGATCTCTGTAATCATGACGAGGTCACACTGTTGTGAGGTATGGAGTTCTCTACGTTCGGCCAACTTACTAAGAAGATCTTGGGCATTTGTGTACAAAAGTATAGTGTTGTTGATGTTAGATGTGCGCTGATAGATCTCAAATTTGTGTGTCTTTTTAAGCCGGCGGATAGGTGACTGACCGTTAATCGTCTTTTGGTTCATGAATTTCAATAAATCTGCACGGCATCATAGGGTGTTTCTGAACGGAAGTCTCACTCATGCTTCGCTCTGTCCTGTTGTGTGCCGTGCCCGCTGTTGTGTCTGTCTCTCTCTGCAGGACTGCGCACACAAAGTATTGCCGGCTGTTGCCAGTTTCCTAGAATTGCTGAGCACTCGTTTCCGCGCATCTGTTGCCTGTAGCCAGATCTCGGTTTGCAACCTGGCTCGAAACTTTGACCAGTTGTCCAATAGAACTTGTGTAATTCGTTCACAGTGTAATATCACTTTCATTAATCTTGTACCGCATCCCTTGTAGTTAGGTGATGACGGAACGCTTAGCAAGGATTTGGCAATAACATTGACAAGAGAGAGTGCTTCGTGGATGCAACACCACTGCTGTCGGTCGTGTTTGCACATCGTTATCAGGAGAATCCAGAAGCTCTGGAACACCATGAGCAAGCATGGTCTCCATGCTATCGTTGTTACGAATGCTGCAATGGTCACTTGATTCTTTTGGGGGATCTTTCCAAGAGAGATCTGGTTAGATGCGCATTCTGCTCGGTGAGTTGTGAGGACGAGCTGCTGAGAGCAAGACAGTCTCTGTCACGTCAGCTGAGTTCGGCGTTGCTCGCATAATTCGATGTCCAACTGAATGCACTGAGTTTGGGTGACGCCCTACGCGTCTCAGGGTACTAGACTCAACCAGAATACCGATGGCGTAGCAGAAGATACTCCCCTGATTGCGATCGTGTGGCAAAGTGCCTTTTATTGTGCCAGATTTAGACTCGGGAACGTTAAGTCAGGCGAGAGTTAACGCAGCATGGTATATTCAATCTAGTATCGGTTTTAAAGTTGTTGCTAGTAAGTTGGGCTGTTTAGAAGGCACCACTGGAGTTTTCGGTAAAAATTGCGTCGCCTCACTTTTGCTCGCTATAGAAGCTGAATGTACGTTACTCCCGGTAAGTTTATCTAGGCAATCGATAAGAACGTTATGTGCTTGTTGTCTGCACCGGATTGTCTCCGAGTCTGAGCTGTCGTTGTCACGGCTGCATCGCCAGGTGAAGCGTCCATGATTGGAGGAGTGGAAGGAGGCAGTTTGAGGCTTGTCCGTTTATGGGAGTTAGGTTACCCAAAGGATTTAGAGACACCTACGCTGCAGAACTGTTGGAGTGTCTGACTCCTTTTAGGCCTAGAGGCGCAGCTTGATTTGGCTGGTTGAGTTGTTAGCGTGGCCATATTTACCGCCGAGGGAGCGAGCTTAATATTTACAAAATGCGCGATTACCTCAGTTATGCTATTGCATTTTTTATGAGCAAAGATAAAAGCTCGACGACTGGAATGATTTGACATGTTGAATAAAAGCAAAACATATCAGCATCTCAGTTTATCAGTGTCACTTCTTGGAAGGATGCACCTACGCATTGCGGATGGTATGATCTAATGCAGCTAGAATAGATTACCCCGATCCTAAGGACTTTAACGCAATTCTCTGAAGAAAATACGCGGTGTTGTGCCGTGTTTGGAAAGATGGCTGTACTGTTGTCGTTCGCAGCATGGTTTGTCCGAGCGGTCTTTGTGGCAATGGCGCTCACTTTTGATGAATATTCTATGAGCCAAACACGTCAAAACACACACACACTAGGTGACATGGCTGACGGCCGGCTGACTATATGAGTCAGATGTGCGGTGTTTAGAAGGTTCAGTGAAGCAGACGAGGTTGCTGCGCTGGGCGCCGGTGTAGTGGTTGACAAGTCCACTGGGAGTGTCGATCGGTTTCGGGTAATCGATCAGTTCCAATGAATGCTTGGCAAGAAGCAATATTGTAAGAAATGCAAAGTAGCTGCAGCAAACGGTATTAGAGAAGAACGGTTTTGGTTGAATTGATCAACTCAAGAACTATCCTTCATACAAGTGCAGGGAATCCACAAAGTGCTTGAAACCGGATTATTGCGTTGTTGACTTTCAGCAGCAAAAGACGTCACGAACGCAGATGTGAATCAGACGTTGAAACAATAAGAATAATCTGGAAGAGAGGTAGGCACCTCGTAAAGCTGCTAAATCCGAGTTGAATAAATCTAAGCTCAGCGATGTGTAACAAATTGGTGAAGAATGGTCCACAACATGGCGAGACCGTCGATTCGGATCGGCCGTACGCGGCTGAGACGCAGATGTTTGCAATTATTTTTAGCTTATACATAGGAACCTCGTTATTTCAGGTTGGTTAGTACCCTTTCTTAGTGAAGGGGCGTCTTTGCTCTCGAGCCACGAAAATATGTCCCTGTGTGGGCAAACAGAACATTTTTAATTTTGTCCGCAAAACAAAACACTATTTTGTTATTTTCTAAAATTCCACCTTCCCTGAAACTGACAACCAGCTGTAACGTTACACACGGCGGAGGAATGGCAACCAAAGTCTTTGCTAGTGTATATTGTGGAGCACCCAATGATCAAAATTCGACCGATGACATCTTCACAAGATTGCAACTTCATGGGTTATTTTCTGTCATGATTATCGGCTAACAAGTTGCAATGTGTTATCCGCCCCCGGTTATTACTTTGTCGTCCTGCGGATACTTACCCGTGTAATTTCGTCTTTTATTTACTGGCCGAAACTAGCTTTTACTGAACAAACACTTTGTTTGATTTAGTTTATGGTACATTACTTCTATCTAAGCAGAACTTTTGTAAATTGGAATTAGTATGGTCATAGCCGTAAGTTTACCCTTCTCCTAACGTTTGTTTATCAGTAGAGACAGTAGTCCATTAACTTGACAATCGGGCTCCATTACGGCTCGTATGTTATGCTTACTACATCCGTTCGCATCATACATACAGCTTGCTTTGTCATTTTTCTACTGCACCGCTTGGTTTTTCGCCATTGGCTTTGTTAGAGTGCGGAATATGCTTCAGAACGATTGTGCCCGGGGCGTGACATTTTTTAAATGTCGTTATCTGTGCCCCACTTAGTTCGGTCGCTCCGTAGCTTCTGCTTGTAACAGGTTCTTGGTGCAAGCGACAGGTTCCCATTTACGTCCCACGGGGTGTCACGTTCGATTGCTTCCTCTGGGTGTTGTATGTGTGTGTGTGCGTAGGCGCACACACAACTGTACGTCCGCGTGTGCGATACACGGCCCAGAATTTGGGCATTTTCAGGTGTTGGCGTTCGCAACCAGTCCAAAGCCGAACGCCACAACTGTGGCCAAAAATAGTCGCGTCAAGTGCAGTGCAGTGTGCACCATGAGATGGGCCATTATCCGCAATCCGTTTGAACTTTTTTGTCTCCGGCGAATGTGCGTGTGTGTGCACACACGTAGACACTGGACACGCGGGACGCAAGCAAACTGGGTCACGTGAATTTTTCAAACCCACTTCGATTGCTTTGTTGCATCATCCTAAATGTCCTCCTGCGTCTTTTGTATTTCCGACGAGGTGCTTGAAGTTAACTGAGCTATTGCCTTCATTTTCTTTCACCTACCTCCGCAGGTCGGACTCCTTGTCTGGTCGGTTCTTCAGCCGCACCCCGGGCTCAACGAGGGAAACAACAGAGTGTGATCCATTATGTAAGCCTGCAATGCTTTTTCGTATTCACACCCATATATATAAATATATATATATATATATATATATATATATCATGGGAAATGCAGAGGCTAATGCTAGCGAGTACATAACCTTCATCATTTGAAGATACGCGTAAATACATTCCAAGTTCCGTGAAATGTCGTCATGTAGTGCATCGATACAGCCTTAGAAACTTTTCTAGCATTCTTTTCAACTCATGGTAGCCCTCGACCAGTGGCGTCCAGCAGGGCACAGTCCTTGGGCCCATTTTGTTCCGGATCCACCTCAACGATTTGACTCAGCTTCTCAATCGACTTGGCGCCTTATTTGCAGATGACCTTAAGCTACGAAGGATTATTGAGGCGCCTGACAACTATGACCTGCTTCAGCATTACCTTGACCGCCTCTCCAGGTGGTCAGCAAAGGTCAACCTTCCGATCAATCCGGTCAAGTCGGTATCCACGGACCTGGGCAGGCTGGCCGGCCAACAGTTATACCCATCGCCATCCGTGAAAGCTCTCGGTGTACTCTCACCCTGCGAGTTGAAATCCGTTGAAAACATGAACAAACTTTACCAAAACGAACTGCGCATGCTCTGGGCACTCAAACGCAGCCGCCTGCATTTCGTCCGAAGAGGTTGCAATCCGCCACTTCTCTTTTATCATCAGACCAATGCTTGAGTACAGCTTACCCGCGTACTGTCCGCTCAGACTGGGCGAGGTGCAAAGGACTAAGCGGATACAGTAAGTGGCCACAAGCCTAATCCCTGATAGATGAGGTGTGCCATATGAAGACCGATGCAAGGGACTAGGGTTGTACACCCTGTCTGATCGTCGAATGCAGGTTGACCTTATCATGACACACCGGATATTACATCTGGGCGAATACCACATGTTGAGGCATCTGCTTCATCTGCGCACACCAAGCAGCACAGGAGGACAACGGTACAAGTTTGTCGTGCCGGATTTGGAGCGGGTCGCTCACCAACTCTGCTTCGAGCGGAGGGTGGTGAGTACTTGGAACAACCTGCCTGCAGACATAGTCAAAGCAAAGTCGGTCTCAGAGTTAAAGAAACTCCTGGACTCGCGCTGTGCCGACTTGAGATTTCGAGAATATGTACCCTCATAATAGGTAGATTTGCCTGAAAGATATTGGTTGTAGCTGCACAGAGACAACTCTACTAGCTGCATATTCTCAGTATTAAGTATTTATCTAGAAGTGACGAACAGCAGCTCACTGAAATTTGTCAGTGTAAAAGTGATGCCACCTCGAGCCGACGTAGCAGAAAGCACTCAGTGTAGGCCGAATGTGGATGGTAGAGTGGTTGAGAGTAGTGGTATTACGTCTTATTTCGTCAGAGACAATCTCACTATCAGGGAAGATCCAGCCGGCGCATTGTCATAGTGAGTAATTTAAGTGTTGAATAAATCCGAGCGCACGCACGAGCCTCTCTTTTTCACCTCTACCGCAGGTGACAGAAAGGATTGCGTGCCTGGCTTGCAATACTTAGATAGTCGGTTCGAATCCGTGTAGGGGTGGGTGTCTTCGCGATATACTCTACCCATGCGCGATCGGTTGTGGTCGTTTGGCAGCGAAGCGTCCGTGCGGTGTGTACCAGCGTACTGCTGTTGACTTAGTTCCATTTTCCCAGCACTTCTGCACAAAGTTCATCGTTAACCATTTTTATCCGGTTGCTACAATTCGCATACATGTGTAACACATGGTTTGCTCGCCTTGGTGAATTTGATGAAAATTGCGCTCAGCAATCGGCTTTAATGTTGTAACTGTGATAATCGGAGGACCGCACACTCCATGTCGACTGCGTTTAGGTTTGAGCCAAGTTCGCATTATTTCGCGGCCACATTGGGCTTCAGGATGTATGTGAGGACCAGTTGGGTAAGAGTTACGTATCTATCTTACACAATATGTCGATCTGATGCCAGGGTGAATGTTGGCAACTTGACTGACCCTATTACCGGTACACACGCGTAGCCCAAGGGTATCCATTAATTCGAATGGCATTTCTTTTACACAGGTCCCATTATAAGTTGTAACACAAGACACTTTTGTGGGTCTATTATTTGCAGTACGCTGACAGTGTTCTATGAGAACTACTAAAAGTAAGTATGATCCATGGATTTCACTTAGTCTTGAGGTAGTAACAAGTGCAGGCCTCGCAATGTCTTGTGCTATCTGGCTGCAGCGTTTCGCAATCAAATTCGGAACACTTACTTAGACAATAAAAGAGTGTTTACTGAGTACATCACAATAGCCTACACGTTAGATAGCTAACCACTAATCCAGAAAGTACCAGACGGTCGTTTCGTTCTATTTTGACTCGTCGGGGTGTGCATCATTCGCCGTTTATGTTGCTCACAAACGGCCCATGCCCTTAAGTCAAGGGGAACGAGGGCGCACAGTCGTGACTTACAAGTTGATTGCAATACATCTCTACTTAATTCCTATCGCTGTCTAGAGGACAGTGGCTAGCACACTTGAGTCACGACTACCCACAACGACGCTAGCAGTTGGAGGCAGTTTGGGTGGATTTTTGCTTGATCATGAATAATCCTGAGTACTCATGATTATTAATATGCTCACTCCACAGCTGCCATTTTTCATTTAGTCAATAGGCGCTCAACACCTGATGTGATAGCCGCAAGAGTGCTCAAGCCGGTTGCAAGGTGGGGTCTTTTCATTATTTTTAATAGTAACCTTAAGCCTGGTATTTCAACGATTACCAATGTAAGCTTGGTGCAAAGCTACTGTCGAACTATTCTCCAGGGCATCCAGTAACCTCCTTCTTCTCCGAACATTCTCCAATTTTGCTCCCGTATAACAAGTGACAAGTTTTCCACACACACCCTCATACTAATGATCGCGCTGTAATGGCCAAAATGGTCCGGCTGATTTCAGATTGCTCACTCGACGATTTACCCTACACAGGCCGATGCATGAGGCTAGGGATGCACATCCTCTTCAACCATCAGTTCAGATTTGGTGTTATTCTATTGACCTATTGGACATTGCATCCGAGTGATTTCCCCGTGTTGAGACTGATACTCCACATCCGTGGATACCGGTAGAAGCTTGTAGTAGTATCGGATTCGAAGCAGGTTGCTCACCTTCTCTACACTTCGAACGTCCAGTAGTGATCCACTAGAAAAGTTTACCGAAAACTATGATTAAGACAAAGTAGTTGTTTGAATTCAACAAACTTATAAACTCGCATCGGACGCATTAGTTTTAGGCAATGTGTCGCATCTGAATAGGGTATCGTACATTTGCAGCGTGAATAAAACGCGCCGGACGAAAACTTTCCTTTTGAGGATTCAATCAAATGTATATGGAGCTAGTTTGATTTCTATCTTTACTTCCTCTGAGTAACCTATTCAATATTTGAGCAACACTTGAGCAGCAATGTTCGGCTATCCTAATGGATAGACTTATCTCTAAATGAGCAGCTGCGTCCATATTTGGTGCAGGTCAAATATATACAGGTAATGCCTTGCTCCTTCATGAGCAATATGAAATTTTGGTGAGTAAAAAACGAAGGTATATTCTTCGTCAGTGAAAGGTACAGTTCAATTGGATATTACGATTCTTGGTGTGCGGCAAAATCGCAAGGAGCAGATGTTATATGTTTTAAATTTTCCAAAACAGTCTAAGCTTCTTGGTGGATACACATTATTTGTCGGTCAAATATTTCGGGGAGATTTTGTGGTTTTACAAGATAATAAGTTCAGATTAATATCATGTATAATTGAAGTAATACGGCCATTACTGGGGACCCGAGGACCTGCTTTCACGTGGGTTATTCTCTCGATGTATTTCACCCGCACTTCCATGCCCCATCTCGCCGTGTGCCGGTGAGGTTATTAAAGCAAGTAAACCATCACTTACGTCACTCATCTTTAGAGCTGTTTTTATGTGTATATAGTGTGGACAGTCAAGCCACCTAACACGTACCATCAGCTGGTTTTTTGAGTAAAGCACCTTTTTATCGCCAGGGAATCAATAGCAATGCGCCTTGCGTGGGTATAAGTATTAGAGTTGGGAGCTTAAATTGGTTACCTCAGGAGACCGACCCAGTCGTGATCAACAGTAAAGTGAAGAAGAACGTAAAATATACTCGCAAGGAAGACCGATCGATCAAATTGTGCAGGGGAAGTGTCCTTTAGGTGATGTTACAATTGTTGGTTGAAGTAATCAAGCCAATACGGCATTCGGTAGGTCCGCATCGCATGCTCCAGTCCATGACGCCTCCCAGCATCAATGATGTAATACACAGAAGAATCCTCCGGCTCATGAAGGAAACAAAAGTTAGATTTGCACACTGTACACTGTACACTGTATGTGCATTAATGTCTGCTGCATACCCCAATGGACCTCTCTAACCAATAGGTCGTGCCCCACATCGCACATACCACAATGAAGTATGGTGAAGTCATGAAGCAGCTAAGCGTGAGCATTGCATGCGCACATTTGTAATGCAGCAGCTTCCCTGGGATTTAGAGTGACCTGACCTTCGCCTTCCACCGGCCCACTGACACAGCCAGTACCGTAGGGTCCCAGTGCACTCACCTATGTCGCGGTACCGCTTCCGACCCACGTGTGGAATCGCTCACTATGAATAGTCAGTCGCTGGTCGGTACGAACCTTAATGCGGAGGACGTCCGGGAGTACGACCGTTCTTTGGCATCCTCTGGACGACACATGCATAATGCAGTCTTACCACTTCCGAAACTTGGGCGAGATGTTGTCAGACTCTGGTCAATATTACCTGCAAGAGACCATTCAATAATTTTAGCATTGAAAGGCCGTCGTAATTTTCTGGTGGGGTCGTCTTCCATTGTTAACCCACAAGACCGTTTTTCCGACACTCCTCTCATGCATTCCATATTGTTCAACTATCGACATCTAATTGTAGTCCACAATGAAAACACCGATTCAGGCGAGTTCATTAGTCACTCACTGCATCGCATTACATATAGAAAATGAACTGTCGCCAGATCTATGAATGCACACGACAACGATGGGACAGCTGTCTGTTTCCGACGCCTCTTGTTGCCACAACCGATTCTCGAATCCCGACGAACTCTCGCTTCACAAAGTACAGAATGTATATTTGCATTGCTCAGTCTCAGACCCATGACACTGCTTTATGCAAAGCCACGAAAGTCTGAGATTTCCCGGCGGGTAAACTCTGGGCTGTTAGCGTTACGTAAGAACACGTGATTATTTATGGAGTAATGTACAGGTTTGTAAAATGTCTTGTTCTTTATGTATTAGCCAGCATATCGCGCCCTTCCGAAACGATAAATATCACGTGTAGCATATTCATAACCTTTTTCGTGTGATTAGCTCTCAAATTGTAAGGTGATTTTTTCGCAACTAGTCGCTTGCGATATTTTTCACCATTTATTCCTGTCCATGGATTGTGCGTAGGTGCGTAAGTCACATTCCTCACTTGACCTGATTTGACGTTAATTGTGTTCATTCGGCGTGTCGACACACACCGAAATGTATCCGACTTTGCGAGTAACTCCTAGCTTTATAGCCAATGCAACTGTAACCACTGTGCCACATTGTAGCGGCGTTACACAGATCATTTCATTTACTGTTGGACATGCCCTTCGGAGAGGTCATTCTATGTTCATCCGCAGTCGCCGGCATCAAAGCTGATTTGCATTCCCCGCACACTCGGTTGGGGCGCGAGTGTTTCGCCTACAGTTTGGCGCGTTCGACCATCCATCTGTTGATGTTTCCAGGTAATACATCGACAGTGCTGCCTCTCATTTAGCGAAAATGCAAACATTTTTCGACGATTTGTTCCCCCTTTATGCTCCGGCATTATGATAGATTTGTGCCCATTCATGCTGACATTTTCCAACAACCAAATGTTTGTGCTCCGATTTCCGTCCTGAATAGCCACCGAAAAGATGTGCCAGTAGAACTTGACTGGAATTGAAAAGACGATGGCAATTTGCCATGTTAGCAAAAGGGTTCCAAATTTTTCAGTTAACAAACGCACACATTGTGGTATTAGTCCTTCATAGGAATAGGCGAAATCGGTCCAACATATTAATACCACGGAAATGACCAGTCTGCATGTAGAGTCGCTCAAATGGATTTGCAATACAAATTGTGAGTCCAGCACAATTCCTTTTCTCACTTGGAAGAGTAAAACTTGTGCTCACGCGGCCTGTGTCAGATATTGTTGAGTGATGCAACGGAGCTTCAATCAGTTGGTTATGAATACAACTCTTCGATGCCAGAAAGAAGGGGCTAGTTGTTTAAGTGAATCAAACCTGTAGATGAAGGGCAACTACGTCACGTGTATTTTCGTGGGATTCGCGCTGAATGTAGGACATGTGAGATATGCTTCTGCGGTTACTGTACTTGATTTGCCTTCCACAGGTGCATTCCTAACAGTCTACCAACCGCACGTTATTATAACTATGATAAAAGGGAAAACTTTAGTAGATCGGTAGGCTTCTCTTTTCCTTGCTTAATAGAGTACGGGGAGAATCAACCGGGCATAACGTAGGCTAGCTGCGAACAAGCTTGAGTTATTGTCAGCTGGACTCATTCAGTTGGCCGTCACACTCTAAATTGCAGAAGAGTAGTAGGGGGAGTTGAATGGTATAGGTAGAAATTCATCACATCTAGGCTCACTCAGACAGCCGTCACACACCCGGAAAAGCACTGTACGCGCGTTTCATCCTTTCGGGAATCGTCAGCAGTGCACATTCCATCGGCCCTGGTAGGGCTCGAACCCGCAACTCGACTGTTGCCAGTCCGTGGTTGAGACCACTGAGTGGCGCTATATCACATATGGTAACTTATTCACGATGGTTGTTGCCGTCCCCCGTAGCTCAGTGGTCTCCACCACGGACTGGCAACAGTCGAGTTGCGGGTTCGAGCCCAACCAGGGCCGATGGAATGTGCACTGCTGACGATTCCCGAAAGGATGAAACGCGCGTACAGTGCTTTTCCGGGTGTGTGACGGCTGTCTGAGTGAGCCTAGATGTGATGAATTTCTCCTTATAATACACTCTTAATTAACAGTACACCTCACTTCATCCGCTCATGGCTAATCTTATTGCGTTTTCAAGCGTGCCATAAAGCTCAAGCTGTATTCCTATTATCTAGAAGTTCAAATCACGGGATCACGGTACAGTGGCAGACAGGACGAAGTTGCCAGATATGCTGCAGTGCAGCTGGCTCTTCACTGACCTGCCTGTTATTGCCGTTTTGTTTCCAACACCACAATTAGCAACATGAATGAGCACTGGGACGACTCACGAAAGGACGAAATAGTGATCAAGTGCTTTTACGGTTGACTGCTGAAAATCTGGCCAAGTTTAGTTGTGGTTAAGTCCAGTTCAACCATCCCAATCCATCTGTAGAGGTATTGCTGGTAAGAAGCTCACAGGGTATACACCTACAGAGGAGAATGACGCAAAATATAGTTGACTATAGTTGACTTACTACTTTAGTTGAATCATGAATTTCCCTTTATACTTCCAAATAAGAATAGCAGAAACCGACGATTGTGGGATGACATTCATTGCGTTCTCACACATCAATCACATACCAGCAACTAACAAGGCATGCAAAACAAAGTCGCATGAAAGCAATTCTGAATTGGTGCGTTGTACGCTACCACGGTAGGTTTAAGATCAGTTGTTTTCGGACACACGGTTTTGGGCGCTGTCGATCGATAACGATGGCCTTGAGTA